CGGGCTCCTTGCTCAGCGGGGGGTCTGCTTCTCCCTCTGACCCTCCCCCCTCTCATGTGCTCTCTCTCTCTCTGTCATTCTCTCTCTCAAATAAATAAATAAAATCTTTAAAAAAAAAAAAATATTTGGGGCACTTGGGTGGCTCAGTTAAGCTTCCGACTCTTGGTTTAGGCTCAGGTCATAATCTCAGGGTTGTGAGATGGAACTCCGGGTCCCAGCCCAGAGTCTACTTGAGATTTTTTCCCCTTCTGCTCCTCCCCCTGCTCACGCGCATGTGCTCTTGTTCTTCTTCTCTCTCTTGCTCACTCTCTATAAAATAAAATCTTTTTAAAAAATAAATACAGTACTTAATTAGATAAATCTTCGCTCTTCCAGCAATTAAGCATAGTATGATAATTGTGATAAATTCTTCCCTTTGTTTTGCAAGGTGCCAGATAGATTGGAAAAAAGGAAAGAATGTCACTTTGAAAACCATTAAGAAGAAACAGAAACACAAGGGACGTGGGACAGTTCGTACTGTGACCAAAACAGTTTCCAATGACTCTTTCTTTAATTTTTTTGCCCCTCCTGAAGGTAAATAGTGTTTTAGTTTGGGTATTAATGGTTGTTTTATTATAAGCTTTCTTTAATTTCTTACTCATTTGAATTTCTCTTCTCAATTTTGCAGTTCCTGAAAGTGGAGATCTGGTAAGTTAAATTGTTATCTATTTGTTGAATTGTTCACTATGAAATTAAAGAACTGGTTCTCAGAAGTGGGGAGTTGGATAGTTGCTACTCGAATTTTGTTCTGAGGCTTGCAATGCATGGAGAAGACCTTTATGCATCTGAAATTATTTCATTCAGAATGCCTGTAGTGCTTCCATTGAGAAATGCTGAGAGGCTAAAGGCTTTTCTTTTGAGGCTTGGAAGTATTTTTGGGGGGATTCAGGCTCTTAAGATGATAGTTTTCTTACTGAAACTAGTATGTATTAAATATATCATTTGTACTATTTATTTACTAAAACTCCTAACCACATTTTGGTTAGAACTCTCTGTATTTGTTATTCCAGTGGAAACATGGTTTCGTATTGTGGCCATGTGTTATGTGACCGTATGAGCCAAGAGCTGCAGTGATGCCTGTGCACAGCCTGGAATGCTGTGCAGGCAGGATGTAAGCTACGTAGGTTTTGAATCTGCTCTTCTGTTGGCCAGATTTTTTAACTTTTTAACTCCGATAGTTTAGTAGTTTTGTACATACGGAATTAGAAGGTATGTTTGTTTTGAACACTTTTGAATTGGAATAGTTTTGGCTAAGGCTAAGACCAGATCTGTAAAAGGCAAGTATTTCTGCCTGTAAAGAGTGGTAAGTGGTTTGATTCAACCCTGCAGCAGGGTTTGTGGGACAAAAAAGGGGACTATATAGCAGCACCTGAATTTTAGGTAGAACTACTTAAGAACACTGTAGTAGAGTTTCATGCTATTTTCATGTCAGTGAGTGGGTTGGGAGTTTGTGTTGAAGTGACTTTTTTAAATTCTATTGTCAAATATTTATGGTAAGAAAACAGTCTTGAGTAGTTATAGCTAGAACACCTCCACCTGTGATTACAGGTCTTTCCCTCAAAGTCCACTGCCCCCTTTTGTGTTTTTTTGGCTGTTCATTATAGTGGATTATGTTGATGAATCAAAATAAATACTCATGTTTTATTTAAACATAAGTTTATGTTTAAATAAATACTCAATGTTTACTCATTGTTTGGTATCATGGAACTTAAATGGGATTATTTGAATTTTGAAAAATGTCAGCACCATTTCTGTGTTGTGCTTTGTCATTAAGTAGAAATCCTAGATTGACTTAGTATTAAGTAGGATTCTATCTCATTTGGCATTACGCATACAAAAAACTGCTTCTGTACTATCTTTAAGGAAATGTGAGTGATCCTCCGTGTTCTTTCATTATGTGCCGTATGCCTAATATTATATAAGTCCTGAGATTCCTTCTTAGTATTGTTCCATTTGGTGTTTTCATAATGAATATTTATAAGAAAATTAAAGTCATGTAACAAAGTTGCTTTTATATTTTAAGTCAAAAAACTAAGCAATAACCAGTTCTGATTTTTATTTTCCCAAATTTCTCGGAGTATGTACACTGACTTGGTAGCTTTCTTTTTATTAAACCTAAGGTATATATCGATGACTGTTTAATCACACACATAAGCTAATTTTAAAATGATAGAAAGTTAAAAGTGACGTTGAATGTTGTTTCATAGAATTTAAACCCAAGAGTCTTGCATGTGCCTAATTAACAGTTATTAAATTTTGTGCCTTTTTTTTTTCTTAAAAAACAAAACAAAACAAAACAGGATGATGATGCTGAAGCTATCCTTGCTGCAGACTTTGAAATTGGTCACTTTTTACGTGAGCGTATAATCCCAAGATCAGTGTTATACTTTACTGGAGAAGCTATCGAAGATGATGATGATGATGTGAGTGAATCTTAATCCTGCAGTGAAATCATTTGGTGAGGGTATGATGGTCACAGCTGGTGAGCAGTTAAACGAACAGATGTAATTTTTTAAAAAACAGAATAATTCAAAGGCTAATTACTGATGTTCTATAGATAACTTTCCTGAATTGTTTTAAATATGTCTTCTTAGGATCTTTGGTAGCTTTTATTTTCCTGCTAATAGGAAGACTGCTCTGAATTAGTGCAGCTTTACTGTGTTTGGTCAGTGTTGTAGATGTATTATGCTCTTGTCTTTGACCAAAACATGTCTAAGACATTTTTTATTACTTTTAAAAATACTAGGAAGCATAGAATTTTTATCCAAAGGAATATTAAGCAACAATTAAGGTAAAACTAGGCTGCCCTCAAATATTTTGGCTACCTTTATTGCTAAATGTCAGTCATGCAAATAGATTTAGGGCCTTTTTGTGCTGTGTGTTTGCATAAGTACAGGCAAGTAATATTTATAGTAATAGTTGTATGATCACACGCACAATTGTACTGTATTCTTTATTTTAACTTCTAAAATTGTCAGATTTAGATAACGGCCCTGAATTGATTCCCGCAGCCATTTAATTTATAATTAATTGCCTTAAGGAAAGTATTTTCCTCTTTTTAGATATTAGTGGAGACAAGATGGCTGTAACTAATGCTATTCTCAAATGTTTGTTAGCTTCATTCAAACTTCATCCTTTTTTCCCTTTTTAGTATGATGAAGAAGGTGAAGAAGCAGATGAGGTAATGTTTACCAAATGAGCAAATAATTCTGTTTAACACATTGAGAAGCAAATTGAGTGACTTATGTATTCCTTTGCTATAATCATTATTCTGTGATACGGGATATAAACCTTTTGGAAAAAAATACGGTTTTAGAATTCTACAGCCAAACAATGTATGTATGAGGTTTCAATAAATAAATTGCAAAACTCAGAACATTTTTTTTATTTCAAATAATTCTGTTCTGCTGCAGGGTTATCAGCTCTTTGAAGAAGTCAAAAGCTGCAGTAAACTTTTTCAACGTTGGCTGCAGTAAATCTTTTCAATAAAAGCTCTCTGGATGTCTCAAGTTGTGTTGGGAAATTTTTCATATTAGAAGCTTTCAATTAAATTGCATTTTCACCCTACTCTGTAATCATGAAAATCTTTTGACCCATAGAGTAACTTGTATTAAAATTTCTCCATACGTTATGAGCCATTTCTTTCTACTGTGTACCTACTTCATGGATGCATTTTGAACTTTAATATAGGAAGGGGAAGAAGAAGGAGATGAGGAAAATGATCCAGACTATGACTCAAAGGTGAGCAAAATTAGTGCTGCTTTCTATTAAATTTAAGGCAGGTTAAATAAGAGTTGATGTTTCTTAATATAAAGTTTATTTTTGTCCATTAAACTCTTTAATAAATCCTATTGCCTGGAGATGAATGTATAGTCCACTTTAATCCCCACTGGCATTTCAACAGTACATGAAATTTCAATGCACATTTCCTGAGAAGTTTTATTTTTGGTTCTGACTTTGTATTTTACTTAGTTTCAGGCTAAATAAACCCTAAGATTCTGTTTTAGTGTACATTATCTTGGGCTTTTTTTTTTTTTTTTTAGATTTTATTATTTGAGAGGGAGAGCACACACGAGGTGGGGGTGGTGCAGAGGGAGAGGGAGAAGTGTGCTCCCAACTGAACAGAGCCCGATGCCTGGCTTTAACCCCTGACTCTGACCTTCGGATCATGACCTGAGCCGAAGGCAGACCCTTAACCGACTGCGCCACCAGGGTGCCCTGGGCTTTTTTTTTTTTTTTAAACAGTTTTTTAGAAGCATTTTATTTTTCAAAGATGTGGGGGTGGGGGCAGAGGGAAAGGGAGAGAGAGTGAGCGAGCAGGGAGTCCTCAAGCAGATTCCCTGCCCTAGACTGCCTGAGGGGGAGGGGGGCGGGGTGGGGCGGGGCAGAACTCTGGGCTTGATCCCAGGACCCTGAGATCATGACCTGAGCCTAAATCAAGAGTTGGCATTGAACTGACTGAGTCACCCAGGCACCCCTTAGAAGCATTTGAAATTACTTAACTGCTTGTGTTCTTAGGTTTTCCTTCCAAAGGATAGCTTTATAAACGTCAGTTTTTAAATAATCTGATTGCAGCAGTGTTTGGGAATAGGGAAGCAGTATTGTTTGTTACGTTCTCCCAACCACCTCTGTTCTTTGAGACTCCTAATCTGTCATTCTTGGGTATTTGTCATATCAGGGTTAGTAAAGCCCTTTATCTCCCCAAAAATACATAGTACATTATCAGGATTCATTTGAAACTTTTGGTTTCTGTTAAATGCATTCGTTCATTTGCTAATTACTGTAAAAGATCCGGAAGATACTTTAGTGAGCAGGTAAGAGAGGGGTAGTTAAAAATCAAATTAATTATTCTAAAGGGTATGAATTAGTAAGTTTGAATACTTGTAATTGATCTATAAAAAGGCAAAAATAATTGGTAATATGAGTAACATAAATTGCTTTGTTATTTTTTAAGATTATGGTTTAGTGTGTTATTTTATGGAGTTCATTCCACAATGTAAAATTTGGGCCTTAATTTTAGCATTTTTGTGACTTGCTAATATTTTAATAAATAATTTGCCATCCTTGCTATACCATTTCTTTAATTTGGCAAAAATTTTGGTAGAACATTGAGATAATATACGGTAATTACTGTTGAAAATTAACTGAAGCAGGTAGAAAAAGATAGATTGACTTGTTGTTTTCCTTTAACAGAAGGATCAAAACCCAGCAGAGTGCAAGCAGCAGTGAAGCAGGATGTATGTGGCCTTGAGGATAACCTGCACTGTAATAGCCTAAACACAACTATTATTTACTTAGAGCCTTATGTTTTTGTATTTTCTTGTAGACTCAGTAATTTTTTTTAAAGGAAAGGAACTGATAATTTTAAAGACCAATTTGTTCTACTTATCATTTCAACTAGTTTTTCTGCCAGATCTATTGATTGCACAAATTCTTTCACGCATGTTCATTCATCACTACATGGTTTGGTTCTTCTGGAGTAATTTTTATCATGTAACAAAGATTTTAGATTACAGCTATGAAAATGAACAGAACTGTTAAACTTTTTTTTTTTTTTTTTTTGCTTTGCTAGTTTTTTTCCTGAAGAACCAAAGTATTTTTTTCAGCTGGTAGTTGAATTGGGTTTACGTTTGCTTGCACTAGCTGTGCCTTTCATTACTTTGTTGTAGAAATGCAGTGACTTAGACTAAGACAATTCCTCATTTAAAAAACAAAAGCAAAACTTGTTGAGACAAATATATGGTTAAGAATTTCCAGTAAGACCACAACTGATAACTTAGATTATTAATGGATTTTTGTATTTTAGGTGACGTAGTTAGAAACCTAGTAAGGAAACCATAGTAAAGAAACCTAACTCATAGTGTGGTTATTGGTTATTGTAGGGAAGTGAATAAAACCTATTTTCAGAAGTTAAGCCTCATTATTTTAACAGTACTTTTAAATTTAACTTCCATTAACTAAGCATCTTTTCTTTATGGTAGGGTCTACCTTCTGCTTCCCTGGAAAGGATGAATTTACATCATTTGACAAGCCTATTTCAAGTTTTTTTGTTATTGTTTGTTTGCTTGTTTTTGTTTTTGCAGCCTAAAATAAAAATGTCAAATATAATTTTAGTTCTCACAAGATAATGTCTTAATTTTGTACTAATTCAGGTAGTAGCAGAGGCCTAGCTTGAATTAAGCATTGTACCCAGTTGACCATATTATGGAAGAGAAGTGTGTCAACTTTGGGAGAGGTACTACATCTGCTCATTAAGAAAGTATAAAAAAGAAAGACAAAATCTTAAATGATGTAATGTTTTTTTAAAACACTAAAAGGTTAAAATTTTATTTCCTTTGATTAGAGCTAGAGAGAAGGCCCCAAGCTTCTGTGGTTAATTCCGATTCTTACTGCTTTTAAAGTTTGAGTATGTCATTTACCCATGCTTCTGTTTACTATGTATTAAAATGGGTAGTACTGTTTACCTAACTACCTCACAGATCTGTTAAGGCATATTAAGTTAGATTTTATGAAATGTTTCTCGATCTCATTAAAAGCTCCAAAATTTGGACCTGTTTGTACCACAAGTATGATATTCAGCATTTTATTCACACCAGGGTTTGATAATTCAACTGGAAAACAAAGGTTTAAGTACCTCTTCTGGATCTGGTCAGGCAACATTCTTGCAGATCTTTGTGTGGCTCCTATCTTGATAGAAGCTGTTAGAAGAGCAACTCTTTGAAAAGGTCCAAGGATTGTTTTTAGGTATTTTAGTTATGACCATATTGTAGTAAAATACTACAGAGATCATGGGACTAACATAGGAAGACGACCATTTTTAGTTGGGGGGAAATGCCATTAAATTTGAGTCTGTAGAGCCACATTTAAAATACCTCAGGCTAATTACTGTTAATTTTTTGTGATGAGCTTAAAAGCTTTGACAGTGAGGGTGGACTAAATGGATTATAATTAGAGGATGTCCTAGAGTTCCTGCTCTTAATAAAATTACATTGTTTTTAGAAGTGATAGAGCTTCCTTTTTGAAAATTTAGTATTTAAAGATCTTGGAATGTGAACACATCTTGTTATTTGTGTAATACTGTTCATTCCTCTTCTGAGATTTTAATTAACTACTGGAAATCCTTAACCAGTTGCAGTAGTGTGTAGGAAAAAAATGCCATGAAAACACCTTATGTTTTTCCTCTTTATTTTGAAAATGCTTTTGGTTGCTTTGATTAGACATTCTTTGCTGATTTTTGTTTTTGTACCCATAGCTCATTTGATCACAGCCTTTTCTGAACTTAAAAAAATTTAATCTAAAGATAGAATCCCATTTTTAATGAACTTAAGTAGCAGAACCACTATTTTTTTTTTTTTTCATTCCTTTAGGTAATAGCTATTGCCAAAGTGAAGGGGCCGATACTATTTCATCTTGTTATATAAAGGGATGTGGTTTGTAGAGGAATTGTTTTCTTAATAAATTTGGCATTGCAAGGGGTATCAGTGTTCATCTATGCCATCTCTCCAGTTCCAAAATGGTTCTATTCCATTTTAGAAATTTGAAATATGTAATTTGAAATCCTTAATAAAATTTGCATTTAATTTTATAAAATGTACTGGTGATATTTTGGGTGTTTTTTTAAAAATGTGAATATATTTCTATATACTTTTTTTTTGAAGAGTAGAGATGTTTAGAGTAGGCTATTCTGTGCTTAAGCCAGGATGGCCTGTAAATTTGTATAATTTTAAAAGGAACCTCCCAAGCCCTGCTAAATGGAGTTTGTTATTGGAAGACTAGAAAGGTTTTTACTCTGAGTTAACTATAGACATTTTTGAGACACTTTGAATTTTGTCTTTACATTTTCAGTTTATAGTTTCCCTTAACTCAGGCACAGATTACCAAGAAGTTCTATTTTTTCTCTCTTAGAAATGGCAGAATCTCCTATAATCACCCCTATATAAACTAATACTTCGAAAATTTTTTACTGTCATTTTATGGTCATTCAAAAATGGTAAGTAAACAGAACGATAGTTTCATAAATCACAGTTTATTTAGTTTAACACAGATGTCTGAAAGTTTATGTAATTTTTCAGAATTCTTTTATCTAGTTCACTGAAGCAGTATTAATATTTCTGTGACATAAAAATGTGTGGAACTGGCTTACAGAGTAATAAGAAAAATGGGATTCTACCTCTGTTTCCTTTTTAGCTCATATAATAAAAACAAACCTGAAAGGGAGACATTAGCTTTGATAGAAATATTTTCATTATAATGTGAATAGGTTAATGATACTGATTGGTGTATAATAAGGCCCCTAAGATAACTGAATTAATTGTTCATATTACTGCTGTTTGTAAGACAGTATGAATTTGTGGGTTTATCTGAGTTGTACGCCATTACCATTATTAAAAATAAAAATAAAACTTTAAATTACTGTTTGTGAAAACCTTATCGTACAATGCAGAAATACTAAACTAATATTCAGATATTCTTTGAATGCTTGGTTTCAGGGCTTGGTTTAGAATTTGAGTCCATTAAGGGTTAGTCTTACAAAAATTTTAGTCTTTATATTTTTTGACTAAGTCAAGCTGAATGTTATTTTAAATGTACAGAATAAAGGTAGTTTAGAAGTATATGTTCTTAATAGGAACCTTAGGAAAGGGAAATCCTATGCTACTTTAGGTTTTGTTTTTTTTTTAATTTTCTGCACTGTATATACTTGGTAATTGTGACCTGGATTTTGTTTTGAAAATATGTGTTCATAATTTAGGTAATTTGCTACTTAAAGCACTAAGTCTAATAGCTGAAAAGTAAATGTAAATGATAATGGTGAAATTAACTTACAGATGTGTAGTGGTGATTTTGTATACTGGTTTAAAAATCCAGGTGTCAGAATATAACTTGGATTCAAAAAACCAAGTTCTTAGGGATCACTTATGTGACTTCTGAGAAATGGAAACATCTTTGTTGGAGTATGAGATTACTTAAAGGATGAGTATTTATCCATGAGAAATTTTTAATTGATGTATTAATTATATTTTCAAAAAATACAATATACTTTGTATCTTGTGTTTCTTCCATTTGACATCATTATGTACTTTCAGGTTTTTCAGTTAAAAAAACATTAAGGCATTGACTAATTATCTTAAGTGTAAGATGAGAAATGGAGCATAACAATTTAGAAATAATAAATTGCCAGCAGGAAATAAGTCATTAATCCAGTTGCTTAATTTTCATATTGGAAATTGACACTTTGTAGCTTTTGTAGATCTCTTAATTACTTGTTTTGAGTTTTTTTATTTTGAAACTCAGGAGAAAATGTTGCTTAAGATAAAAGTAGTTTTTAGTTCTTGTGTGGCTTAAACTTAAAAAACCAAGGAGGAACTTCGGGATGAGTGATCAAAAGTGCCAGAGATTGACAGACCTCATTTCAAGAGTTAACGCTATTGATAGTCATAATTTTGATCTTCATAATGAGGTTAGGCAGTTGTGGCTCTGATAAATTTTTCATGAATTGGTGAAGTAGTTTCTACGAGAAGACTAAAAACTTACATGACAGCTTTTAGCTGGGATTTCAAGGATGAGTAGGAATTTGTTTAGTGAAGGATGGATCCTTTGAGCAGAGAGCAGTTCAGGTGAAGGTACTGAAGGAAACACACAAAGTCCTGAAGTAGGACAATCTGGGGTACATTCAAGGTGTTGAAAGAATGGATGGAGATAGAAGAGGCCAAGCCATGGAAGTCCTTTTAAAGGGTTTAAAACACTAAAAGCCACCTGTTGAGAGTATTTCAAGTGAGGATGACCCTTCCACGAAGGCAATTTTTAAACTAAGACATGATAGTGTAACTCTGATTCTGAAAATACAGTTATTGATTATGCTACATAGCCCTATATTCTTATGCATACATATACACATTGTTTTTAAACTATTTGACAAAGATGCAGGCATCATACCATTTTACCCTCTTTTTTTTTTTTAAAGATTTTATTTATTTATTCATGAGAGACAGAGAGGCAGAGGGAGAAGCAGGCTCCCAAGGAGCAGGGAGCCTGATGTGGGACTCGATCCCAGGACCCTGGGATCATGACCCGAGCCGAAGGCAGACGCTTAACCATCTGAGCCACCCAGGCGCCCGTCGTCATACCCTTTTACCCTCTAAGTGTTGTTTTTTTTCTCATCATGAAGACGTTCTCACAGAATTACAGTACAAGTAATGTTAAATGTGCAGTCAAATTTGTTTTGACCAGTGAAAATAGATTAAAAACAATACACAGTGAATGCTTCAGAGTTAATCCCACACAGGATTTTTTTCCTAGCCTTCCTCCAGTCCATATTTGTAACTACCTTCATCAAATAGGTGGACTCAGGAATGAGAATTGTGGGTGAGGTTGCTCTATAGGAATAAAAAACCATGAATAAAAATGGAAAAGATCTAATTTTAGATTAAAGCCATATAGCCCCTAAACAAGTGACGAACTATCATTTTTTAAATAAATGTGGGAATAAAATAGTTACTACCATTGGGTGGTAGAGATAGAATTGTTAAATACAGGCTTTGGGGTTCATCTATCACTGTTCATTGTTTTGTGAAGATTGTGGTGAGCACTAATGAGAACACATTAATCTTCTAGTACTTAGAACCTCATATAAATAATGAGCATTTAGTAAATGTGCTTCCGTAACATAATAAAATCTAGAACTTGTAGTTGGAATCACATTTTAAATTGATTTTGGCAGGTAATTTTAGAACTTGGTGTACAAAAGAACAGACTTAAGACTGGATGAGAAATACAAACCTATTCCATTTTGAAAGTTTTTTATGTAAAATTAAAATAGAAAATAATTTGTTCTCTAAAGTCAGCTAGTTTTAAAAAGATCTCTACCTATTTTTTATACATGTTTTCACATGCTAATTTTTTGGCCTTGGCTTTCATCCAGAAATAATCTAGAGTAAAATTAAGTCTGAAGTATTTGGATATTAATGCTCCAGAACACCCAAGTTGTCACTATTCAGCCCATCTTCTCCATCCCTAACGTTTACCTGGAGCTCTGGACATTGTGACAGGTAACCTAGAGGTGGGCAATGAGATAGGTGTCTGTTTTGAAATAAGATGTTATTTTAGACTTGGATTAGGCTAGTTGATAATAAGTTTTAAAACTAGCAGCTGGATCTGATCTCTGCTGTTCAGTTGGCTTGGTGAGTGGGCGTACAACCTTTAGAGCAGCTTCGGTATCAGCAACCCAGCCTGTTTTGCATTTACACTGTTTCAGCTCTGCTTGGCTGCTTTTTCTTTCACCTTTTTCCTGCCACTAGTCTTCTGTGCATGGCTTACTCAACATAGTCTCTTTTTCTTTGATTTAATACGTATTCTGGTTCTTCAGTTCTGAACTGGCTCTACCAGTTTAAGAGGTAGTTTAGGGATGCATGCTTGCTGTTGGATTTCCTAACTCAACAGTACTGGGATGGTAGGTGTACAGCAGACTTTTTTTTTTTTTAATAGGTTTTCTTTTTTTTTTTTAAAGATTTTATTTATTTATTTGACAGAGACAGCGAGAGCAGGAACACAAGCAGGGCGAGTGGGAGAGGGAGAAGTGGGCTTCCCGCCGAGCAGGGAGCCCGATGTGGGACTTGATCCCAGGACCCCGGGATCATGACCTGAGCCGAAGGCAGACACTTAACGACTGAGCCACCCAGGCGCCCTGTACAGCAGACTTTTTGTATGTGTAGATCAGTTAGGATTTATCTGGGCTCTTTCTTTCTGTTTTACCAAACCATTCTTACGGGTCTTGTAACAAGATAAACGATGGATTCTCATTGGTTCAAGATAGTCTAAGGTCCTTTGTAGTTGTCAAATCCTACATACTGGTTGGCTTATATTGAGGAAAATGGTAAAACAATGCTGGGTTATGTATATTGTTCTGTAAATTCAGTGGTTCTATGAGATCATGGAAAGTATCAATAGTTGCAGTTACCTAGTACTGGATAACAAAACTTAAGACATTGACAAGATTTATTTTGTTGACCCTGCTTGGTTATAGTTCATTTCTGCTGTACTGAGCATCGTTAGGGGCAGTTTTTGAAGGACAGGGACTGGAATCATCTGAAGGCTTTTCATGCACAGGTGGTTGATGTTGGATGAGACCTCAGCTGGGATATAGCCACATCTCTACCTAGATACTGCCTTATAGTAGCGTAGCTGGGTTCCAAGAGGTAAAAGTTGCATCCTTTTTATGACCTAATCTGGGAAGTCCTCACTTACTCTATTGGTTATAGTCAGTCACAAACCCACCCAGGTTTAATTACAGAAGGGGACTACATCTTCCTGGAGGGATAATAAGATTTTGGATGGGAGGATCTGAAATCTCACAATGGCCACGATTTTTTTATTTTTATGAAAACAGTTGGCTACAACAGTTTTTCAAAATGACCAGAAACATAGAAAGTTTAAATTATATATTGTATGCCTGTTATTGGAGAAAGAATGTTTTACTCTATCATATTAGAATCTTTTATCATTTGACTATTCTGGACAATTGAGATTCCTAAACATACATAATTAGCTCATTCTTAATCATAAAAATCTCAAGATTGATTAGTAAAGGAACCTTAAATGGTAAGTATAAGGTGACCCTTAAGTATAGATTTATTTTCATTTTTTTTTTTAAAGATTTTATTTATTTCTTTGTCAGAGCACGCGAGAGCACAAGCAGGGGGAGCAGCAGGCAGAGGGAGAAGCAGGCTCCCCGCTGAGCAGGGAGCCCGATGCAGGACTCGATCCCAGGACCTTGGGAGCATGACCTGAGCCGAAGGCAGACGCTTAACCGACAGCCACCCAGGTGTCCCAGTATAGATTCAGTTTTAAAGGTTAGGTGTAATATATTGTGAGGAGTTCAGAGAAAAACATTGCTCTACTGTTTCTATTTTAAATGAGGTGGGACTTTGCTTTTATAGCATTATAGATCTTAATCATTTTTGAAAGATCCAAATGTGTACCCATTTAAGATAGTATAAATAATGCTTTATTTAATCTTTATACTGAGGATGGTAATTACTCTCTTTATACATAAAGATAGAAGTTGAATAACTTTAACACATCCTCAGCATTGGTCTTTGTTGGAGCCAGTGTGATGTCCACTTGTTTGGTCTTTGCGTATGCTCGTACCCACTCTAAGAGAAGTCTTCACTGGCTTCTTGGAGATACTCCTGTGTGCACTAGTGGTTAAATAGGCACTTTCATTAAGCTAGGGATTTCAGAATATCAAATATTTTAGAGTACACAAGAGTTTATCTGGATCAATTTTAAACAGCTTTCAGATAGGCTGCCCCCTACCGCGCACCTGGTTTGCGTGCACATGTTGGCTGAACAACAAACCAAATGCAATGTGGGTTAAAAGGAGTTTTCTTCTAGGTGTAAATTAGACTTGGGGGCTCGTTTGGGAGCTTCATAGTTCTCAAAGAGGCTTTTGCTTTGCTGCCCATGGCATATGGCTTCCATCTTTTCTTTCTTTCTTTCTTTTTAAATTGCTTTATGGGCTGAAATGGCTGCTGCAGCTCCTGCCCATCGTGTCCGGGCTTTTAGGAAGCAGTGGGACTGAAGGAGGCAAAAGACTGTTGGCATCCAGTCCTCTTGAAAGAAGAGCCTGTGATTCCTGGTTACAGCACCAAATGTCTGAAGCTGAGTTTGGTAGGAGTTGGGAGGAGGGAGGTTACTATGACTGCCACATTGGTCACATATACTGAGGATCTTCAGGTTTAGAAAAAGATTGATCAAGGACAGCCTTTAACATAAGAGGCAAATAACTACATTTCAGAAATAGGTAAACAGTCCCCAGTAAGGTTTAGGAATATAGCCCAAAGACTTACTGCGAGCTGACCAGAGTCCTTCATCTGAGGCTTTTCACTTGATCGTGCATGATGCTTTCCTTGGAAACGGGGTACACAGATGAGGTTGAGACAATGACTGAAATGAAAGTGTAAATGGGATCTCATTAGGAATAGCAACTGCTGAATGTTCTAGTTTCTGACCTTTTAAGAGATGGTCATTGTTACTC